GAAACTAATACTGTCTTAAGTTAAGTATGCCGATGCATTTTGCTTATTTTAAAAATATTTTTTTCCAATTTTTTTTAAATTGTGATTTATTTTAAAAATAATTTTATCATAAAAATATTTTTTCCAATAAATACTTTCATTCAAATGGTGTGCTTAAAAACTGTGTTTCTAATTATATATAATTTTTTCTTAAAAATCGCCCTTTTCCATTTTTTTTTCTAAAATATTTACTTTTCCTTTAAAAATATTTTTTTTTCTAAAAATCGTCCTTTTAAAACTAAATTTTTCCTTTTGGTAAATATTTTTGTTTCTAACATTTTATGATAAAAAATTTACTAAAACTTTTTACGAAGATACGAAAATTTCAACTTCACACAATTTCCTTATGAGCGGAAAACCCCTTTGGGAAAAATGTTTCCCTTGGTCCTGAAAGGTTTAAGTCATATACATTTTTTATGTGTAATTTAATTTGAATTTCCCTTAATCACTTCAGCTTCAGCTGAAAATCACGTTCGTGCAAACATGTCGATATATTACCCGCCTCCTCTACGTTCGGTAGCAATTCTTCCAGCACCCAATCGCGATCGCTCTCACAGTAACTAATGAAAATGTCATGTCGACGATAATTTGAATAAACAAGTTCGTTAAATTTAATAATTTACAAACTGTAGCAATTTTAAAATGAAAAATGTAAGTTAATACTTGTTTACTTAATTAATTTAGTTAATTCCAATGATTTGAAAAGTACTCGGAAAAAAAAACTATTTATTACTATTACTATCTGATATTTTGAGTGATAATTCTCGCTGGATTTTCGACGAAAAAGTAATATAGATATTATAGAATAAAAAAATAGTAAAACATCAAATTACGACCTCTTTTACTAGGGGACATTATGCTCTCCTATGGCCCATAAATTTTTTTTTACTAGTGATACATGTTAAATCAAATTTTGTATTTAATTTTTTCAGTTCTTCTCTCCACCGTTTCGCGTTTTCAAAATCTCTTTTCGCCATCTAAATACGAAATTCAAAATTATAAACAGGGACGTGACCGGTTTTTAACCGGAAAACGCGCTTTTTTCTATTAATTAACTGAACCATTAACCGAACCGGAATTTTCCACAAATGTTTAATCTGAACCGAAAACCGAACCACTTTCCATAAAGGATTAAAGGTTCCTTTCAACCAATTTTTAATAGATAAATGTACCCACTATTTTTCTTTTTTTAAGCATGGTAATATCTACCATGTTTGTTTAGCATGTGACAATATCAAATGTAAAGGCAACCCATCTCATTTGACAGACACCTTAACCTTGCGCGTTGTTGCACTTGACACTTAACACTTAAACTTGCGCGTTATTTTTTATACCCGAACGCACTTGTGCACAAGGGTTGTCTGTAACAGGTAAAACGAATCGAGTTAGATATAGACAAATGTATACATAAGTGATCAGAATCCCATATAACAGTAATTTGGAGAAGTACGAAATCTTCGATAAATCAGTAAATATTAAAGCTAATTTATTCGAAATTGATGCTTGCAAAAATCCTTTACCAAGAAATACGTTTATGATAACATTTTGGAAAACGGACGTCGCACCGCACTTATGATCACATATTTGTTCTCGGTAACCGTTCTACCAATTTGTACCAAACTCGGTATGGATATTGTGCTTGCCAAATAAAAGCAAAACGTCAATAATTATTGAAATCAGACTAAAATTTAGGCCGCTTTTCATATAACGGTAAATTTCAGAAATCCTTGAAACTTCAATATTTCGAAATTTAAGGACGCTAAATTATTCAAAATTGGTACACCCCGGCTTACCATCCCTGCAAAAATCGTTGGACCATGTAGTCTATTTGTGGTAAATTGGAGTACTTACAAAAGTGTTCCTCCGTTATGCTGTAGCGGACCAACTCGTGTCTCTGCGCCAGCTTATTGTTTGTTATCCGATCACTGCTCATGTTTTAACGAAACGTGATTGAAGTTGAGCATTTGAAAGCACATTTGCATGTCTGGCAGTAGCTGAACGTGTAGAGATGCTCGCTGTTAGTTCTTAGCTCCCAGCATGTTCGGGTTCGAATACTGTAGGAGGCAACATGTAATTTTTAATTTTTGTCTTGGTTTTTATTAATTTCGAAAAAGCATTTGAGAAGTGAAGAACAAAAGCGTGTACAAACGAAAAAATATAACAACAATGCCATTGGTAATATGTTGGGTAGTTTTGTGCTACTCTGATGTAATGCAGGGATGGAGTATATGGTCCTGCCCTAGGACATCGCAATGTTAATTGGACCATATTTTTTATATGAATTGTGGTTAATTTTGGAGTACTCCTTGGTCTTTAGGGAGTACTCTTTACACACGTGCATGGAGTAGTCGCGATTTTTGCAGGGATGTGGTGATCTCCGAAATAGCAGCTATAGCTTTTACCTTTTGTAAATTATTGTTGATTTTCAACAACAATTTCATAAGAAACGGCCTGAAGCTCAATAAAATTGTTGAATATAATTGTTATAAGGCCATAAATAACAAAAAAATCTGAATGTTAAGGTCAGTCAGTCAGGTCGAAAGAAAGTCGGAGAGTCTCCTTAAAGTCGATGTTTAAAACTTCGGTAAAACTTTCATCGATGTATCTTCAATTCCGCGATGTTAAGGCCCGTTTACATACAACTTTGGCGTTGCGTTGGCGTTGGCGTCGCTTCGCCAGCTGACTATGAATACATGTATTTATATGAAAGTCTCCATATAACCAAAGTTGGGCAACGCCAACGCCAACACAACGCAGAAAGATGGCCAACTCTAAACTTTTCGCGCGCGTCGTTCGTCAGCTGTTCTAAATAATCAAAATTATGTGATTTAATTTTAATTTTTAATCAAATGCGGGCAAGAAATATAGTTTTTAATGCAATTATTGATGTAAAAATTTTGATTTATCAGCCGCTAGTATGTTAATTTAGTGACCAAAGTATTCTGTGCTAAGCGTTCATTGTAGCAAGCACGGGCGTTACGCGCGCCGCTGTCAAAGCGACGCCAGCGCCAACGCAACGCCAAAGTTGTATGTGGACGGGCCTTTAGTAAATTGTAAACATCGATGGCAAACATCGAAAATTGAACTCATATTATCGATGTTCCAAAAACATCGATGCATCGTTTGCATCCCTAGGCACAGCTGGCACGTGCAGCATTTATGTTTTTTTTCTTGATTTTGATCGCCAGCGGCCGTGTTATTTAATTTTTTTGGAGTTATTAGGTGTCTTGTTTCTGAGTTTAGGGCGCAAGTGCGCAGCGCCCTGTACGT